CTCTCTCTCTCTCTCTCTCTCTCTCTCTCTCTCTCATAACTGCTCTCTTAAAAGTAATCCAACGATTAATTTAAAGCAAAATTATGCAAAGAATTAGATTTAAAGAGCAATGTTTAGGATCTTCACCTCTGGTCTGTGTAATACAGTTAATGGTATTAACAGTTACTCCAGTAAAACACTACAGTGTCAATGTGCTACCGGTGCTCGAGCACCCGGGTTAGATTGCTCTATGATAAGCTATGCTTGTTATGTAACAGTTATAGCATTGCCAATATTTTTTATACGGTTCACTACAGTGTATGTGTTTAACGTTAAATAAGTTTCTGTTTTGTGCACTTGAAAAACAAGATAAATCTGTGTTTTTATTTTTGGACTTAAACTGATTAACCCTTTCCAAGAATATACGCCAAAATTGAAATTAATTATACAATCAAATGATATATAATGTGTATATTTAGCACTAGAATCACGTATTCTGAATGAATTACAAGTGCTTTTTTAAATGCACAATAGGATTGACAGTTGTGTTTGAAGTTTTAGTTAAATAAATATGTTGTTTAAAAACAGTTCAACTGTAGAGAGAGAGAGAGAGAGAGAGAGAGAGAGAGAGAGAGATCTAACCCAATATACAATGTGTTTAAAGATGGGAAAGCCATCTGACATATGGCTTTGGAAACTCCTTTCAACCGTACGATACGTTTTTTGAGCACCAAATTGTCTCTATCTCTCGGATCGATGGCAATCTTTGAACCCCTCTTACACTTAAAAATACCAGAATTGAAAGCCCTTTGTCTTCGGGTTTTGAGTGTTTTTTGTGCCAAAATGTCGTGAAACCTATCCTCATGTCAAACATTGAGACTGAATGAGAGAGAGAGAGAGAGAGATGTCAGTTTCAATTAATTCATTACATAAAAATAATTATAAATTTTACTATATATTCAACAAACTAAATTAGAATTTTATTTTTAATACCCGTTGCAATCAATTTCGCAAATAATTCATTATATATTTTTTAGTTGTTTTTCACAAAAACGGTGTTTGCGTTGAAAGAGTGCACAGAGTTTTATGGGAGACTGACATCACATATTCATTCGCGAAAAACAGCTATATTTAGGTAATGTTAGCGAATGGTTGTGTTGATTGCAAACACAGTTTCAAATCTCCACAAAAATTCCCAATTCATTACATATCATATGCAATACCGGAGTCTCAATGTATATAAGTGTTTGTATGACATAACTGTGCGCCGAAACACAACCTCTATATTTAGCCACAAGAATGCATTTCTCTAGTGATGAACACTCTCTCAAGACATTGAGATCTCATTCATTCATTCATACGTTAACTTCAGGCTAAGTTTAAGTTAACTAAAAAACAATTGATTTAAAACAGAGATAATAGGCTTATAAACCACAAGAGATTTTTGGCTAAAGCGGAAGGAATATTCCACAAGAGATAACATTGAAAACATACCTAAAGTATATGTTTGAGCAGACATTAAATGTATCGTAAACACATAGTTAACAAGCATTTGGTATGGAAAATATATCAGAATGAAATTATTTCTTAAAATATTTACTGAATTATAAAAATATACATAATCTCGGGCTCCATATATGCTGACTACTAGTCCGCCCACACCTTATACAGAGAGTGCAAAGGCATACAAAACTTCATACAATTCTTGCATAAGTTGTTCATATTTGCAGTGAATATTCTGTGCATAAAAACTTGTTTATCATATAATTCTCGCCATTAAATCATTCATTAAACAAATCTAGATATAAATAAACAGAATCATTGTTTTTATACTAAACAAATTAGCAGTAATTGAAGTGATAATCAGTTAATTAGTGACAACAAAACGATGGATAAACTGAAGATCAGTGTAACGGAAAGGGAGAGAAACTTCTGCGAAGACGAGTCGCACGCCATTAGCGACAATCACAGGGAAGTGGTTTTGGTCAACGACTCGGACGACCAGAAGCCGTTGGATAAGCCAAAACTCGGTGAACTCATCGGCAAACTGGGCAAAGGTCTCAAAGTGGTTGAGTTGGGAGGTCTTAAACTGGATAACGAGTCCATCGGTCTGATCGCCAACAGCGGGGCAGCCATCGAGTGCTTCCGTATCTATGACTGCACCGGCGTTACCGACGAATTGCTTAAATTAATTGGTATTTTTCAGATTATTTTGCGTGATATTTAATTTCAAATTAATTGTTTGACAATAATTAAGGGCAAAGATTTACAAAATCGCTAAAACACGTGGAACTGTTGGGCTTCTCGAGTTCGTACACCAATGAGGGACTAAAAGCGTTGATTTTATCCATCGGTAATTTAGAGGCCATACACGTAGACCCGGCCATCACTTTGTTGGCCCAGATTCCCGGCACTGTTACCAATTTGAAACACGTCTGGTCTAAGATTGGAGGTGGTGAAAAGGATTTACTATCACAGTTTACGGTTAGTATCGAGCAATAGTTGGTCTTGATAAATTTAGTACATTTTTAATATTAACATACAGATTAAATACGCCCCATATTTACGCAATTTGGACATTACACTGTCGGGCACTCGAGCCGAGACACCAGACTATGTGGAAATATTAGGAAATTTAACCAATGTATGCCTAAATATATTAATATTTAAGTTATCATAATTAAAATTAATTAATTTACACCAATCACTAGCTATTTAAGTTGTCTCTGACGGCTACCGGCGAAACGCCTATCGACCAGAAACTGGGACTCATTGGCGAAAAGTTTGGGCCCAATTTCAAAGAGCTAAACGTATGCGTTTGGTCGGGCGGTGACGCCCTGTTGGACGCGGTGGCAAAGTTCACAAACCTCGAGACACTGACCATCAATGGCCGGTCGCCGATGAGACACATCGACTTCAAGCTCAACACTAACCTCAAGCGCCTGTCGACGTGCAAGAAGTTGCGACACCTGAGGCTCATACTCAAGAACCACAGCCCACAGCTCTACGACAATGTGGATCAGTATTTGCCGGCAGTGGAGATACTGGAGTTGGTTGGGATGGACTTCGGCGACAGCGCCACCAAAAGTGTGGCCAAATTGAAAAACGTTAGCTTTCTTGACATCGCCTCTCCTCTGCTGTCAGACGCCGGTAAGCCGTGGTGTCATCGCCAGCACCGGGCGATTCCCCTCTCCCCTAATGTCTGTGTGTTATTGTATAACATGAAGACTAATCCCTGTATAAGACATATACAGTATTTGCGGAGGAATTGGTGTTTGTTTGAGAAATTAGGAGTCGTTTCGCCAAAATAGTGGAGAAAATAGGGAATACCTGTTGTGTCGGTCAATGAGTGGGAGTTATCCTTCAAAATGCAAAACCATTTATTAAAAAGTCAAACAAAAATATAGACTTATTCTGTGTATTGAGTGAAACGAAAATGAACTCTAAATACTACTCAATCTCGCAGTCTCTCTCTCTCTCTCTCTCTCTCTCTCTCTCTCTCGTATCCTCATTATAATTGTGGTCAATAATTGTAATCTATTACCATATATAATGTGTGCGGACTCTCGCACTCCTAATGTCATTAAAATGATGGACCGGTAGGTCTCTGACCGGCGATTATCATAGGCTTTATTGTCGTAGAAGTGAATATTTGTGCGCTATTTCTCCGTATACTGAATATATGTGGAGAGAAAATACACTTCAAATGATCTTTTAATAGCTAAGCATTTGATCTGAAAATTGTTGTTTTGGGAGAAATCTCAGTATAAAATCTATTATTGAATATTTTTTGCCTATTTTTATACTTATTTGGTTTATTTCTGTCCGCCCTTTGACTTAAGAAATATTGGCAGA